GGAAGCGCGAGCCAATCGTTGGCAAGGGCACCGATCCTATACAATACTGGTTCGGGCTGCGCGATCAATATCCCAACCTTAGTAAGATGGCGCTTACTATACTCTCTATACCCGCTTCAAGCTGTGAGTGTGAGCGCGTCTTCAGTGAGCTCGGAGATCTACTAGAGCCTCGCCGACGCTGTATATCACCTGAGCTACTAGCAGCACTACACTCAGTACGACGATGGAGACGGGCAGGTTTTGGTGGCGGCGACAACGACGATATGGGCCAATCAAAGCTTACCGACGAGCAGATGGACGTTTTGTACGAGCTTAGCCAGTGGGTGGGCGAAGACGACGATCTAGATACATGGGACGACGGCTGAGACTCAACACCAAAAAATATATACAACTTTCCTATTTGGGAATCAAGCACCCAAGCTACCAATCAAGCTGACAACTTTCCGCCAAGCCAATTCAATCAATCCAGCCAAATCTCATACAAACAGCCAATCAATCAAGCCGGGGGCTGTCAGCTTGCTTGATTGATTGATCTCAGGTGTGATCATTCCAATAGGTGCCTCGCCGTCGACACTAAAGCCAGCTCTTTGCCATCCCCGTACGCACTGTATTGCTGCTAGAAGCTGAGGTTTTATACAGCGTCGCCGCGGCTCCAGCAGATCGCCTAGCTCACTAAACATGCGCTCACAGTCACAGCTTGACGCTGGGATAGAGAGCACGTCAAGCGCAAGCTTGCTGAGGCTAGGGTAGCGATCGCGCACTGCTACCCAGTATTTGATGGGGTTGTTTGCGTACTCTGTGCCTCGCTCTGCCGCTGGCTCGCTGCGCTTCCACCTCGTATACTCGTCCTCCGCCGCGCTGGCCTCGTCGCTGGAGCTGGGGTTAATGAGCGCGTCGATCGCCTCGTCCATGTCGTTAGAGATTACCCTTAATGGCCTCACTGCGCGCGGCAACGTGTCGTACTGCGCCCAGAGCGCGCGAAAGCTGCTGTTGTTAGTCGCGATCCAGTCAGGCTTGTCACTCCACACTTTGTCAAGGTAGTGCTTATAGTACGGGTGAAGTATTGTGGCAGCGTAGTACGCTGGCGAGTCGTCTAGCTTGCTGTAGTAGTCGTCGGCCTTCGCCCAGGCAGCGCGCAGGTTGGTTGCAAGGTGATCTTCGGGCGCCTCGGGGTGCGCGTTATAGTCGACTGCGGCGTACGAGTTAACGCGCTGCTCATAGTACGAGAGCAGGTACTCAAACACTGGTATAACCTCAGCGATAGACCCAGAGCCACCGCTTTTACCGCGTCCCTCAAGGCGCTCTGTCGCTGTCTTCAGCGGCTTCAGCACATCCATGTACTCTGTTATCACCGCCCAGTCAGCAGCTCCGAGGCCGTCAGATCGCATCCACGACTGCGCGACAGGCTGCTTGTTGCCACGACTCTCAGCCCACGTGTCCTCATCTCGCACTCGCCGTATATGGTGAAGGGAGTATGCGTTAATAGCGGACTGCAGCTTAACAGCGCGCTCAAAGCATGAGTAGTAAGAGTTCCAGCGTGTGACGACAGGCTTAACAGGCTCTAGTACTTTGCGCTCTTCAGCCAACGCGTCAGCAGGCAGCTCCTTGTGCGCGAGGCGCTGAAAGTCCTCAAAAAGCTTGTGTTGCTGCGGCGTTTTAATATAGCTGATGACGCTGAGCAGCACGCCTAACGGGCCAACACGCCTCCACTCCTCCATGAAGTCGTGCTCGTCGTGAAGTTCGCGTGCGTCGTTATCAAAGGCGTCGCCATCCTTGCCCCAGAGGAGCGTTTGGCCAACAAGGTTGAGCGTGTGAGGACCGCAGCGGAGGCGTCGATGAGCAGCGTTAAAGCCGTACTTGTGTGCTAATACTTCAACAGTACAATCGTTGTTGCTCGCGTTATCAAGCACGAAGTAGCCAATTGATTGCGCGTTAATGCCAAAATCCTGGAGCGTCTCTATAACGACTTCAGCCATCATCTCCCCACTGTGAGCACCACTTAGCTGTGGCAGCGCGATAGGCACGTCTCGCAGCTCTGCCTTGTTATCAACGTAGTGCGCAACGACGCCCAAGAAGCCACGTTTGCCACCCTTTGTCGTCCACCCGTCAAAGCTAATGTGGATTTTACTGAGCGCCCGCGACAGCTGCTGGACGACACGCGGCTTCAGGTAGTCGTACAGGCGCACGACAAAGCGAGTAACACTTACATGAGACGCCCAAAGCGCTGCCTCAGCCTGCGGGTTAGCAGCTGCAATGAGGCGCCGGAATGCAGGGCTCTCAAACTCAGAGAGTGGGTGGTTGTTCTCAACAAGCCAGCTTACAGCCTCCATTCGAAAGCGCTGAGTATTGAAACCGAGGAGCTCGTTAGCAGCAGTTTGCGACACCTTGCCGCTGTTTTGCTTAAGCATGCGCTCTAACCAGCTAACCTTGGTGCTGGCAGCAGTCTTGCCAGGTGGGCTCTGGCCATGGCCGCGTTTCTGCTCCTCCAGGTGTCGCGCCGCAGCCGTGGTTGAGCGCGTTGTCTCGTATATCCCGCTCATCGGAGTCATCTTATGGTCGTAGCAGTAACGGCACACAAAGAAGAGTTTGCTTGGATCTCTCAGCAACGCGACGCGCCAGCCGTAGCGATAGATCCAGCTTTTGCGCGACGACTGCGACGAAGCTGGGCGTACGTAACGCGGTAAAAGGCTGAAGTCGAGGCCTTCAAAATCGTCCATCAGGCTCGCGTCAAACTCCTCATATGTAGCCACCTCATCAGCTGCCGACGACGCTGCTGTTGCCTGCTCGCTGCCCTCAGTGGGTGCGACAACAGTGTCTTCAGGCCGCGCCTTACGCAGCCGCGACTCAAAATTTAAGGCCTGAGACGCCTCGCTAATAGCTCTACGAGGCGACTGACGCGGTTGCGATAGCTGGCTCTCAAAGAGTATAGGCTGGCTGGCGAAGCCGCTGGCAGCGGGCCTTCTGGCTCGTTTGCTTGGGGTGGCAGCAGCGTCGTCGACGCGTCTTTTGGGCGGCATAGTGGCGACAGTACGATAACGACGATGGGAGCAAAAAGGTAGGGTAATATAGGCTCTATCAGTAGCACTAGGACTGGAACATGTGTGAATCGTGTTGGTTTACTGTGCTACCGGAACTGAGATCTATATCTCTGCCAGCTACTGTTGTGGGCGCTAAGCCCTGTACGCACTAGCCTGTGAGTGTAAGAAGATGGGATGGAACCTAGGTCATATACCCTAAGGCCCACACGGTGGCTGATAGGCTCAATTGGGTGGCTATTAGATGGGCAGATAGCCTCAACGCCTCCGCTGCCTTGCTGCATCAATCTAATCAAGCTGATCAATCAAGCTTCGTCTTTTAAGCTTGATTGCTAACCAATCTCTATGCGAGAGGCTTGATTGATGGAACCGTTGGCTTGATTGTAGATTGATCAAGCGCTTGTAAGCCGCTTGATTGTTGACAAGTCTGCTGGATTGCAGCAAACTGTCTACGCTTAGCACGAGTATGTATTGAAGATGGCTATCAATACGCTCTTACGCGCCAAACTTTCGGAAGACCTCTGATAGATCGTCAGACGATTCGACTCAAACTGGCTAACGTCGGCTTACAAAATCACAAGCAGCTACGCACTACTCGAGTCGCTTATAGAAATGCGCCAAAATCTATCAACCAACACCGGACTGGTGCATGACGGTATTGGAGGTTTATGTGCAATTATGAAAGTAGCTGCGGCAAGAGCCTTTGAGCTAGCTGTTCGTGAAAGCCAGCAGATCATGGGTGCAGCGGCTTATACGCGAACTAGACCAAGACTGAGAGTCGAACGACTTAGCCGCGACATGAGAGCGCTCGTAATCAGCGACGAGAGCGAAGAGATATTGAGCGAGATGTCGGTGCTGGAAAAACAAAAGGATTTGGACAAATGCAAGTCGCTTTCGTAGGTTATGAATCTATTTGTCAGCCAAGAATCCTACTTGACATCCACACCGATGCCTTGCAATTGACTGAAAGCGGTAACGCGGGCAGCAAGAGCCTATGCTGACAAGATCGCTCGAGAGTGACATCGGTTTAGTTGCATTCACTGTCATTCCATTCGAACCGCGTTGAACTGAAGATCTGTTTGAGATTCTTTAGTTTAAATTAATGGCTTTGGATGACCGGTACGAGAATTCAATAGTTGGTAATATATCAATTACCCGGCACCAGCTAATTGAAGTTCTATGTACAAAGTCATGTCTCTGCACAGCCACTAAATCGCAACAACGTCATAACGTAGGCGGCAAGCGAGTCGGACAGGTAGTTATAGAACGATTGAAACTTGCATCAACATGTGAACGGTCTGTAGGAACTGTATTCCAGCTACCTAGTCCAGATGCTATTTACAGTCAAGATGAAGAAAGAAGGTAAGACGCGAGCGGCGAGCCCGCTTTGTTTGGGTTGGCGCACGGCCCTCTCGTTGCCGGGGAAGCGACTAGGCTCGCAGCCTAGTCATGTGACTTAGGGCTCAGCCCGTTACACAACAAAACAATCGGCAGCATCGTCAACACGAAACATGTGGCTATCGGATATCAACACGTTAAAGTACAGCGACTTTAGAATCAACCCGCATTTACGAGAAGGTAATAAAATTAACGTGCGATCCCGAAGGTTCGCAGGGAAATGTGCCTCGTCACACGGTGTCTCGTTACGCAGTGTCACGGTAACCACCGTGGTCCCCTTGACACTCCTGCCTCTGACCCATGCGCTCCTGCTCTTAACCCGTACGCTCCTATCGCAACAGCGCAATGTACTATCCTCGACAGTATGCTACTGCCCCGACATCTGTATGACGTCACACAAGCTTCCTTCCGCTATATATCTTTCTCTGGTGAAACTCTCCATTTCTTTTCTTCACGCAACGTCTTGTATTTACACTTGAGTACTGTACGTAGCACACAAATCAAACTTCTTCATAAGTTCTGAGATTACTGCTCCTTGCCTCTCGTGACACGCAGTGGCTAACGTTATTATTCTTGGGAAGGGCTTTCTACATGCGATCCATAATCATTCTCGTTTTGAGGTCCACCTTGATGACTTCGACGCGTAACTTGATAAGTTTTTCCAGAATGGTCCGAGTCAACGTCTACGAAGTTAGACAGAGAGCTTCGGTTGCGGGTTCTTTGGTAGCCGCCCTGGTAGCCGCCCCGGTAGCCGCCCCGGTAGCCGCCCCGGTAGCCGCCCCGGTAGCCGCCCCGGTAGCCACCCTGGTAGCCGCCTTGGTAGCCCTCCTGGTAGCCGCCCCAGATTTGGTCCGAGTAATCGCGTTTGTGCTCTGCATGATAGTTCTGCCGGCATTCACGTAGATCTGGAGTCTTCCAAGAAAGTTGTCTTTCTGCAAAGTCCGTTGCCCTCTTATCAGCATTTAATGGGCTAGACTGTGATTTTGATGTATCCGAGTGCCTGTCATTGTCTTGAGGTGGCGTATCAAGATAAACGCGCTTGTTTCGCACTTCTTCAGGACCGCATCTGTAATAACTCGTCAGAAGCTAACGCCAATGTCTCCTTGTAGGGCCAAATACCGAGTAGGCTCGGAGCTAAAACGTTCCTCAGTGCTACTATCACGACTATGCTTTTGGACTTCCTCAGGGGCGATCTGTTCCCAAAGTTGTATACCGTTAGGCTCTAGTGATTGGACAAGTGTAGTAGTAGCAAGGGATATAGACGACTGTGATTTTGATGTATCCGAGTGCCTGTCATTGTCTTGGAGTGGCGTATCAAGATAAACGCGCTTGTTTCGCACTTCTTCAGGACCGCATCTGTAATAACTCGTCAGAAGCTAACGCCAATGTCTCCTTGTAGGGCCAAATACCGAGTAGGCTCGGAGCTAAAACGTTCCTCAGTGCTACTATCACGACTATGCTTTTGGACTTCCTCAGGGGCGGTCTGTTCCCAAAGTTGTATACCGTTAGGCTCTAGTGATTGGACAAGTGTAGTAGTAGCAAGGGATATAGACTTTGCCCAGCATATCCAGGCATTGTTGCTCATAGTGTGAGGATTCATGTGAAAATGTTGAACGTGGATGACAAGTTGTTGGTTCATTGATGGGCCCTACCGAGGTGGGCAAAGAATATAACTAACGTCCGTCCCTATGTGCCGAAAAACACGGTGTGCCGAAAGTAACCAATGGGATCGCAAGGGTCGTAGAGAAGTCCATGATCCTTGCGATCCGATTCGTCGTTTTCGGCACACGGTGCTTTTGACCTGGTACAGTTTCAGTGCGCGGCTCCGACAAAACTACGCAGTTGTTTTAATGGGGCTCTAGCCTATCCTGAACCCAGCGTTAGGCATAATGATCCCCCACTTCTAGGCACTACTTTCATCGGAAAGTCAGGTTGCAGATCAGTCGGGCTTATCCCGTACCGCATGTGAAGCGATAGCATATCCGAACACCTCCGGTAACCAGCATAAGCCGCGTTTCTAATTTCGGTTGTCACCTCGCACGGGACATCGATTCGCCCTGTATACGTTTGCTTAGAAGATGCTTAGACTCCATAGATATCTCACTTTAATTGGCTCAAGGCTTAGCAAGAGATCAAAAGTCGCCTGCTTACAGAAACTGGAAGCTGCAACTGCATGAGAGTGTACTGTTATGGTGATGTGTGCGCATTGACTGATTGTGCGCATTGGGTGCACGGACATGGTACAGTAGGCCCGTACGGAGCACGGGCAATTTCATTGAAATTCTGCTACAGCAGCCGTTGGGCCCGAGTAGTTCCTGCAGTTTTTTCTGTCGATTGATTCTATCGGCTCTATCGGCTCTGTCGATTCGGTCGGTTCGGTCGGTTCTAAAACAGGAAAAGAAGTGATCGATCATCGTCAGACTTCTAGTGTTCTGCTTCCGCTGTACCGAGGCCGATAGGTACCGTACCTGTGAGGTATCTCACTGTGTGACCTGGACGCAAAGGGTGCATGTATCGATGGATGGTCAGGGTGCAGGTCATCCGAGGGTCAAAATGAACTCGGCTGACCTGGGAGGCAATCCTCAGGTAAGAAGCTAGCTATTGATCCGGCCTATCCGTAGTATTTCGGAAACTACGTTAACCATTGGCCACGCTGAACATATGCCTATGATACTGGAGTTTTACTGATAATATAACTGATGTTGTTGCAGAAGTTAGGTTCTGCCTTCTTCAGATCAAAAACTTCGATTTTTAGCTACCGAAAACGCACCTTCCAATCTCCTTCAATTGCCAAGAGACCGAGAGACCATCCCTGGTTTAGTACTGTGTCACCGTAATTTCCCTGACTCAGCTTCTGAAGGATTTATGCCGGATTTCTAGACCATCCAGAAATTACTTATCGAATAAACTCTAAACCAGGATCTTTTTTTTTACGACTGATGCACAAAACCCTTCGGAATGGCTATAGATGCCGACGATGAGCGACCTCTCCTCGCACCATCGACCTCGTCCACTCCATCAACAAGCCCAAAACCTCTATTTCAGAACGAGGAAGCATCGCATGGAACGACCGATGAAGGCATTTTCCGCTCGATAGAAGATGATGTTCTTCCCGAAACCTCCGTCTTAGGCCGCACAATCAGCTGGCCTAGCGCCTATATTCTCGTTATCTCCAGCGTCATTGGAAGCGGCATCTTCGCGACACCTGGCGTAATTGTAAAGTCTGTTGGCAGCATTGGTCTCAGTTTGACTTTGTGGGTGGTTGGTGCCATCATCGCTGCCTGCTCACTTGCAGTCTCACTGGAATACGGGAGTATGCTTCCAAGATCTGGAGGGAACAAAGTCTATCTAGAATTTACGTATAGGCGACCCAGGTTTTTAGCTAGTACTTTGATCGCGGTGCGGGCTGTGCTTTTGGGATTAACGGCAAGTAATTGCATCGTTTTTGCGCAGTATACATTGTTTGCTTTCGACATTAAGGCTACGGATTTTGCGCGCAAGAGTTTGGCTGTTGGATTGCTGACGGCTATCGTAATTGTACATGGGTGTTTTCTTAAGACTGGAATCTGGATTCAGAACTTTCTGGGATGTATCAAAGTTGGTTTGGTCGTGTTTATGATTTTTGTGGGTCTCTTTGTAGTTTTCAAGCCGGAAGGTGAGGGTGACAGACGAAGCCATTTTCCAAAAGGAGATGACCTTTGGAAGGATACCGAGTGGGGCTGGGGTGTCATTTCGACAACGCTGTTCAAGGTATTCTACTCATATGCAGGACTCAGCAACATCAACAACGTCATGAACGAGGTGAAGAACCCGATCAGAACACTAAAGTCGGTGTCGGTCTCTGCGCTAGTTACAGCAAGTGTCTTGTACTTGCTGGTCAACATTGCATATTTCACCGTGGTACCGCTTGACGAGATTAGAGAGAGCAAAGAATTGATTGCGGCACTCTTTTTTGAGCGAAGCTTCGGACCAAACCTTGGAAAAACAATTCTACCCCTGGCCGTAGCGCTCTCTAGTGCGGGAAATGTTATGGTTGTTACGTTCGCTTTGGTAAGATGTTGGTACTGTGTCGTTTTGGTATGTACTGACTTTGATAAAGGCTCGATTGAACCAAGAGATTGCACGGCAAGGCTTTCTTCCCTTCTCCAAAGTCCTATCTTCGTCCAAACCTTTCAATGCACCGATAGGAGGGCTTATTGTTCACTATATTCCCTCTTTGTTGGTTATTGTGCTTCCCCCATCAACTGATGTCTACTCGTTCATTCTAGAAGTCGAAGAATATCCTGGAACCGTCTTTTCTCTGGCAACTTCAATCGGTCTACTTTGGCTACGATACAAGCGACCAGATTTAAAAAGGCCGTTCAAAGCTTGGAAGACAGCAGTTGTATTCAGCACACTCCTTAGTGTGGCACTATTGGCAGCTCCTTTCTTCCCGCCAAGGGAAGGTACTGAAAATGGAGGGATATGGTATGCGACATATGCAGTGGTTGCAACCAGCATGTAAGTTATTTTCCAAAATGTCAAAATAAAAATGGCTAATTATTTCAGTATTATACTCGGAGTTTTATATTGGTACGTATGGACGAGACTAATTCCCAGGTTAAAAGGTTATAGATTGGAGGAGAAAACAGACATTCTAGACGACGGAACAACTGTGACAACCCTTGTACATGTACCAAGGTAGTGTTCTGGAAGTTATAGACACTTCTTTGCGCTTCTGAACGATGCAATAAATGTCATGGATATAGTAATAGACAATGCCTAGATTTCTGATTTAACTTTGTCAAGCACTATAATATTCATCTTGTAGATCATGTAAGGGGCTGCGCAAAGTATGCCGGTGCCTGGTAACAGGATTGTATTCGATGAAGAAGAAAGCTATCTGCAGTGCAACGATATCTATATACGTTTGGCTTGTTGTTCACGTAGCTTCTCGAAGCATCTAAAGTGCCGAGGAAGCTCCGAAGGTTCCACCGAGGATCACCATAGCATCTGGGCTCTAGCCCGTTACAGATCACACGGCGCGTGTTGTGCAATATGTGGTTCATAATGTCTGTGAACGGTCTGTAGGGACTGTATTCCAGCTACCTAGTCCAGATGCTATTTACAGTCAAGATGAAGAAAGAAGGTAAGACGCAAGCGGCGAGCCTGCTTTGTTTGGGTTGGCGCACGGCCCTCACGTTGCCGGGGAAGCGACTAGGCTAGCAGCCTAGTCATGTGACTCGAGGCTCAGCCCGTTACAATGTCTACGGAATATCACAACGGAGTAAAAAGCATATTCGATGCAGTCTAGTGGCAAAATACTAGCATGCTGTCGAGTACGCAGCTAGAATAGCAGGAAAAGACCAAGAGATCAACGTATACGCAGACAACCAAGCTGCAATCTATAGGCTCAAAACCCTATCAGATAACCCAGGACAACATTGGCTACTAAGATGCCTCAGAGCAGACTTGCTATCAGTCAGTCTACTCAGTTCAGACTGACTGAACTGACTGAATCTTGGCAGTCAGTTCAGTCAGTCTTCGTTCCGTCCGGATATCAGTTCAGTCAGTCCGGAGGCCTCTAGATAACAGTTCAGTCAGTCCAGAGACCTCTAGATAACAGTTCAGTCAGTCCAGAGACCTCTGGACTGACTGAACTGACTGAATTGGACTGAATTGGACTGAATCTAGCTCTTTGAAGCCGTGTTTTGCAGTCACGATAGCAACTTCTAGTGTTGCTTAGAACACGACTTGTCGCTGCAACTAAGACAGACGCTAGTCTTGAATAGAAAAACGCTTGTCTCGTTTGGGTTAGAGATAATACCCGAGCCAATTAGACTCTGCTAATTACGCTAGGGCCACATGGCAGCCTTGACGCGTCGCGCCCACTCTAGCAAACTAATGCTACAACACTCTAGCCACAAACAATTTAGTGTACTTTATGTCTACTCCTTCGAGCTCAAGCCTCCGCCGCCTTGTCGAACGCGATAAGTGCAGTTCTCCTCTACCGTCGCTATCGAACGCGCCCACTGTTGGGGATACTGCGAGCGAGGCTCAGCCCAACAAGCCCGTGGCTATACATGCAGACTTACCTGACGACGATAACTATTATGTTGGGCTTGATTTTAAGCGCGTACCGTACCTCGAGCGACGCCAAGCAGAGCGTAGTCGCGGCGCAGTAAGGAGCTGGATCTACCGCCACGGCTGGGGCGTATGGCACCGCAAGCACAAGAAGAATTACTGGCTTTGCCAGATCTGCCACAAGCAACGGCGGCAACAGGAGGCCTACTACGAGGCTGATAGCACTACAAACGCCGGTCGACACCTCTCAAGCAACAGGCCTGGGCACTCACTTGGACCTAACGGACCTATACCAATTGCTAGCCGGGAGGCCAACATTATAGGCGCGCTCGCAAAATCACAAGTCTACATAATGAGGTCTAGAGGTGTAGAGGTCTCCCAGGAGGTTGCTAATGAGATAGCGGCAAGCTTTTCATCCTCTCGGTTTCAAGACGCGCTAAAGGACTGGGTAATTGCTGACAACCAGAGCCTACGCGTAATAGAGACGCCGCAGTTTCGAAATATGATCGCGGCCGCAAGTCCCCTAGCGGAAGCTCTCCTTTGGCGTAGCCACTAGACGCTCCGCGATCATATTATTGCTGAGTACAACGCGTACGTACTAGCCGTTGCCGCCTACCTTCGCGAAGCCTGGTCGCTCATACACGTTTCCTTTGACAACTGGACCTCAACTGGCGGACGGTACGCTTTCACCGGCCTCTGCGTACACTACCTTAACGGCGAGGGCAAGCTAGTTGACCACTTGCTCGGGTTACCTAAGCTCCACGGGGCGCACACTGGCAATAATATTGCCTCAGTAGCGGCGACAATACTGCGGCTATTTGGTGTTGACGACACAAGCGTCGGATACTTTGTGCTTGACAACGCAAGCAACAACGATACTGCGGTTAAGTCTTTAGCAGAGGAGTTCAACTTTACTGCAAGCGAGCGGCGGCTGCGCTGCTGCTGCTGCCACATCCTCAACCTAGGCGCGCAGTTAGTAATTTAGGGTAAAGATCGTAGCGCGTACGAGAACGACGCCGCTCACCTTGACGACGAGGAAAAGTACATGGATGAGTGGCGCAAGTACGGCCCTATTGGGGTCCTTTTTGACGTAATCGCGTCTATCTGCACGCCGCAAACTCGACAGCTATTAGAGCGCCTACAGCGTGACGAGGCAGAGGCGATAGGCGTTACAGCTAATATCCGGCAACTTGTTAAGCCTGTTAAGACGCGCTGGAATAGCTATTTCGACACTTTTGTGCGCGCAGCCGAGCTACATGGTCCTATCGACAGCTATATTGAGTTCAAACTCAAGGAGCACAGTGCCGCAACAGCACCATCACGACGCCGGAAGAACCGCGAGCTGCTGCCTGCTGCGCAGCCGCGACTATATGTACGCGAGGGTGGCCTAAGCGGCAAGGACTGGGCGACGATTACGGAGTATATCCAACTCCTCGAGCCATTTGCGGAAGCTACACGGCTGCTTGAAGGCCGCGGCTGACACGGCCGGCACGGCGCTATATGGGAGGTTTTAGTAACGTTTGAATGGCTTCTTGACCAGCTTGAGGCTCTCAAAGACCGCCTTAAGGACATTAATTACTGTAACGGTAGGATTGAGGAAGAGTGGGGTTGCATTGTTGGTGTAGCTACGAAGGTGGGCAGCTATATATATGAATGTGGGATGTACGAAGTGTGGTAGCGAGAGTAGTACCCAACTTGTACCAGAATATGTCTTGGCAGGACCCAAACCGTTACACACCCTCTCAGATACGGCTCTCAGCAAGTAGCTGACCATGAATAGAGATGTGAAAATGACGGAAATGAAAAAAAATACTCTAGTTCCACGCTGAAAGCTGAACTCCCTTCTCTGCTTCCTCTTTTTCTTTTGGAGTAATGATACTCCGGATATCTTCAAGTCCTAATTGCTTGACAAAACTCTCATGCTTTTGACGAGGTAGTACCTTGGTCAAACCGTCTGCGGGCATCTGATCTGTAGGCACCCAATTGACCTGTATTCGCTTCTGCTCGACTTCCTGGCGGAGCCACAACTGATGAGTATCCACATGACGAAGCTTTGTCTGAAGCCGATCTTCTCTCTTAGTAACGATACTAACCGTGGCTGTGTTATCACACAAGAGCTGTGGCGTAAACTCGAGCTTAAACTTAACGTTCTTAAATGCGCGTTGCCACCATTCCATCTCAGCCCCTGCAATAGATAGAGCCATCAGCTCTGCTTCGGTAGTTGACTTTGTGACTGAGCGTTGCACTGTAGCCTTCCAGTCAATTGGCATCCCGTATAGCTTGAATATAAAGCCATGCGAGCTTCTGCGCGTCTCGAGATTGTCAGCAAAGGCAGCATCAGAGGCACCAAAGAACAACGGTTCTACTCCTGCCTCATTTGCTTCACCCTCTGTGATATACGACGCAATCTCGGTTCGAAGTGCTGTAGCGCAGATAGCGTAGTACTGAGTACCAATCAGGTACTCCCAAACGTGCTTTGCGGCAGCGAGGTGCTTCTGGCTTGGATTCTGAAGATGCTGTGCTAGCACTGAGTGCGCTTTCGCAACGTCTGGTCTGGTGATACATGAGATAAATGCTAGTGAGCCAGTAAGACTCTGAAACTCCTTCGTACGCTCGGCGTTCGGTTCTTCATCACTCGGGCCTAGCCCCTCATTCAGCGGAGTTGCTGGGTATCGTCCGGATTTCTTCTGCAGTTTGAAGTTGGCAGCGACCTTGTCGATAAACGAGTCCTGTAATAGCCAAACTTTCCCTTGCTCTTCATCGCGTACGACGCGGATGCCTAGGAACCAGCTAAGCTTACCTAAGCAACGTATCTCGTATCGATCCTTAAGTGCACGCTCAAACTCTTCATGAGCTGCGAGATCTTCTGGTCGAACCAGAACCACAATATCGTCAACGTAGAAGAAGACAATAAGCTTTTCGTTTGTAAACAAACATGGGATGCCTGGCACTGGCTTAAGTCCCATCTTCTGCAGTGAAGTGCAGAGATCGTTGTACCATAACAGCGGCGCCTCTTTTAGACCATACAAGGCTCGCCACAACCGTAGTAGCGGACCAAACTGATCAATGTAGCCCTCTGGTGTCTGTACGTAGATCTTACGGTCGACTTTTGCGTTTAGAAACGCATTCAGCACATCATACTGGAAGGCTTTTAGGCCAAAGGCAGCCATTAGAGCAACAAGGAATCGGAAGATCCGAGCTGCTAGCGTAGCCGCATACGTGTCCTCGTATATCTGTTGTAAGTCTCCTCTTACGACTAGGCGCGCCTTGAACTTCGTGAGGTAGCCGT